AAAGAAAAGAAAGAAAGAAAGAAAGAAAAAGAAAGAAAGAAAGAAAGAAAGAAAGAAAGAAAGAAAGAAAGAAAGAAAGAAAGAAAGAAAGAAAGGCTGGAGTTAAAAGCAAATGTAAAAATAAATAAATAAATAAATAAATAAATAAATAAATAAATAAATAAATAAAACATAGCCCAACACACTCATGTAAAAAAATGAGGAAAGAGAACCTTCCCATGTCAACTGAAGAAGTTATGGAAATACTCCACACCTCATACTAAGGCCCCATATTAAGACTTAATACCTAACCTAACCGCAGTTTCATTCTCCACTCCCCTCCCCTTATGTAACCTTTAACCAATCACCAGAATTTCTTGGTCAACATCGGGAGGTAATCCCCAGATAGACCCCTTACCCTTTACCTGGGCGACATTGCCTAAAGCTATGCAACCCTTGCTAATAAATTCCTATCTTTATGCCCTCTCTCTGCCTTTATTAAAAAAACAAAAACAAAAACAAAAAAACTTTCCTTTTCCGCGGCTCAGCTGAGCTCCTTTCTACTTGCTAGATGGGTGCTGCCCCATTCATGAACCCTTCAATAAAGCCAATTTCATCTTTCAAATTACTAAGCTGAATTTTTGTTGTTTAACAGTGACTGGTGCAGGCTTAGGCCAAAAATGAGTAGCAGAGCTGGGACTTAAACCCAGGTCGTCTATTCCACAGGCCCTGCTCGTACGTGCTGTGCAGTATGGTTCCATACATCTTCACTAACGAAGAGGAAGAGCATCACTTCTCTTGGGCTCGCGGTTATCGGAGGCGGAAAGCACCACCTATTCCAACACCGTTCTCATAAGCCCGGGAAAGAGCCACTCACAGAGGGGGTCTCCCCTGTGAGATGCGACCGGCCCAGAAGGCCAGAGCCCAGCGAGCCCCGCTGCCGGAGTTCCCGAACCCGCAGGTGCTTCCGGGTGCTGGGAAGGAGGAGGGAGCAGGGAGGAGCGCTCGCCCGAGCCCCGTCCCGCCTCCACCCCGCGCGCAGCGGAGAGCCGGGTCTCAGGTTCTCGGGGATGTGCCGCAACGATGGGGACGGCAGCAGGCGGTAATGCGTACTTCCAGAGGGGCAGTCTGTTCTGGTTCACCGTCATCACCCTCTCCTTTGGGTATTACACGGTAAGGGCAGCGGCAGCGCAGTGCAGCCCCGCGAGGAGAGCGAGCACCCCGCCCCCCAGCGCAGGACCCGGGTCAGCCGGCCGGAGGGGTCGCGCAGGCGCAATCCGGCTCCGCGCGCCCGGAGCCCACTGGGAGGGGACCAGGCCCGGGAAGCAGACGCAGGCGCACTTGTCTTGCCTGCGCCTTTCGGCTCTGCCCACGGTCTCGAGAAACCAGTTACCCAGGCTTTCTCGGTATGGGGGCGGGGGCGGGTACGGCTCCCCATCCCAAGACTCAGTGTGTAGATCTTTCAAGATGGTGGTGACGAAGTCCGAGGCCGGCAGGGCTGCTTCCGCCTACTTCCGTCCGGCCAGATGTTTGCCTTCGCTGGTCACCATCCTGGCACTGGGCTATTTCGCGGTGAGGCGTGGGGCGAGGCGGTGCATCTCTTTTGGCCGCCGGGCCCTTGTAGGGCGAGAGGCGCCCTGGTAGCGAGGTCTTATTTAAATTGGAATGTTATGGAGCTGGCAAGTGCTGCCCCTTCCGTTCCTTTTGGTTTTGGAGGGTGCAGTGATATTTTATGCTTTATTTAAATCTTAGATGCATAAGACATAATGGGAGAGGTAGTACTGCTCTTGGCTGAGATATGAATGGTACAATAAGTTTTGGACCTGTTGGCACTTAATTCTCAGAAAAACCTAAGCTGGCAGAGATTACAACATAGAGACTAAGGGAAAGTTGATCAGATTACAAAAACCTAATGTGATTAAGTAGTTGATATTGGCACTTCACAAACTTGATGTACTTATTTTCCAGCTCTGTGAAGTGGATCATTCCCAGTTTTAGATGTAGGAAAAATGAAAGAAGGAAAAAGGATTTTAAATTAAGTGGGGGGTTTGGCTCCAGCCATAGATTCTGCAGTAAAGAAGCTAGCCAGGGCACAGAAACTTAAAGCTTATTAATAATCTGTATAAAATAATGTTTTTGGTGGAATTCACTAAGAATAGAAGTCATCCCGTCTGGGCACTGAGTCTGATAACCATGTAGCTTCCTCCACATAGATCTCCCACTGGAATAGCTTTTAGAAAACAGAAGTGGAGGGGCGCCTGGGTGGCTCAGTCGTTAAGCGGCTGCCTTTGGCTCAGGTCATGATCCCAGGGCCCTCAAGCCTGCTTCTCCCTCTCCCACTCCCCCTGCTTGTGTTCCCTCTCTCACTGTGTCTCTGTGTCAAATAAATAAAATCTTAAAAAAGAAAAGAAAAGAAAACAGAAGTGGAGAATGGAAGCCCAGATGACTTAGTTCGGAGATTCTGTGGTCTCTGGTTTTTCTTGTAGAATCTGGATTGTTTCATAGTCTCTCTCAAAAATAAACTTTGCTGATTTAAATGACTTAATAGGTATTCAGTGCCTCTGGTTCTCTTGCAGTGGGTTGTCTTCTGGCCTCAGAGTATCCCTTATCAGAGCCTCGGGCCGCTGGGCCTCTTCACTCAGTACTTGGTGGACCATCATCATACCCTCCTGCACAATGGGTAAGCAGGGCTCTGGAAATGGGATGTGGACCCTGCAGCTCCAGTTCTACTGTAGATCTGGAAGGCCTGCACTTGCCTTTAGATATCTAAGAGTGTTGCTGGTTCACATTAAGGCATTGAGGTTTCTGTGTTTGATTTCATTAGCAGATAACCATCACCTTAAACTAGGCTGACTTTTGTTTTAGGTATTGGCTTGCCTGGCTGATTCACTTGGGAGAGTCCTTGTACGCCATGGTTTTGTGCAAGTAAGTGTGTTTAATAGTGCTTTAGCGTTTTTCTCTTGGTATCTAATATAAGTTGAGAGTAGCCACATTTAAATAATTCATGGATTTGTAGGCTGAGAACATTCTCAGGGTAGAGTTGAATCTCCACACCTAATACTGAGCCTAGCCCCGAAGGTAACTATTTAATTAATGGATTCATTTCGTTTGTGTTAGTTAGTTAGTTATTTGACTACTTAATTTAGATGATTTTTCTCATTAAAAAAAAAAAATTCTCTGTATAGCTCCACCTATAGCAAAAGATTTGGGGGTTGCCTTCTATTTTGAAAAAGAGCCAATTTATTGACATAGGCCGATGATTCTCAATCCTAGTTTCACAACTGAATCACCTGAGGAGCTTTTTGAAATATACATGTCTGGTGTCCAGACCCAGAGACCTGATTCAGTAGGCCTGGCCTCTGAAATGGGAATCTGTTCTTTTTTTCAAGCTCCACAAACAATTCTGGGCTGCATTGCAAGTTAGAAAACCTCTCAGTTTGACCCTACTCAGCAGGTGCCAGTGTAGGTTAATACTGTGTGAGGGACCTAGGAAAGATTCTCTTTTTTTTTTTTTTTAAGATTTTATTTATTTATTTGAGAGAGCGAGAATGAGAGAGAGAGAGAGAGCACATGAGAGGGGGGAGGGCCAGAGAGAGAAGCAGACTCCCCGCTGAGCAGGGAGCCCGATGCGGGACTCGATCCCGGGATTCCAGGATCATGACCTGAGCCGAAGGCAGTCACTTAACCAACGGAGCCACCCAGGCGCCCGGAAAGATTCTCTTGACATTAGTACTTCATGTAAGCATGTACAGACAATATGGTGTCATGAAGAGGTGGTTACAGTAATGCCAAATTACTTTGCAGTTAACTTCTGGTCAAGGTGAGCTATCACCTCTATTACTGTTGTATTACTTCTAAAAGGGCGAAATGAGATACCTTATAACAACCATGTTTTACAAACAAACAACAACAAAACTCATAATGAACCTTGCTTTCCATAATTTAAAAAAATTATTATAGAAAATTTCAAACTTTATCTATACACTTTCCCTCCTCCTTGCCCTACTCCTGGATTCTTTTGAAACAAATCCTAGACATTATATTATCTCATCTATAAATAGTTTATTATGTGCCTCTAAAAGATAAGAATTATTTTTTATAAACATAACTACAGTAATTATCACACATGTAAATATTGACAGTAATTCCTTAATATCACCAAATATGTTAGTCAATGTGCAAATCTCCCCAATTATTTCATTTTTTAAAATATTTGAATTTCTGAATCAGGATCCAAATAAAGTTCAAACATTGTAATTAAAAAAAAATGTTTTAATAATAAAAGTAATATTTATTGAGCGTACACTATGCCAGACACTTGCTAAGTGCTTTAAAGAGATGATGTTACTCTATCTTCTGGTTTAGGAAACAAGCTGGCCTTTTTAGGAGAAGAGCAGAAAGCAGCCCTGTTCTCTCTCAAGCCCTTTCCAGGTCCTCTTACCCTGTGGGTTGGGGTGTGCCTCTCACCGTAGCCCCGGATGAAATCCAAAGCACTTCCCTAGGTTTCCCAGTCACTATCTGATACCCTCCAGTCTAGTCCAGTCTGTTTATTAAAAGCATAAACTGGTCCCTAAGTCCCTCATCCAGCTGGGGCTCAGGAGCCTGCTGTGGGGAAGAGAGTATAGTTGGTGGCTTCTCTCTCAGGCCACCTCCTTTTCCTATTTGCTAGCAACAGCTGCTTATGGCCTGTTGAGGGGACAGCAGTTAGGGGAAACAGGGCACAGTCTGCCTTGTGGTCAGGCAGCTGGGAGCTATGGATGTTGCATACCCGGTGTTCGCTTTTTTTCTCCAGGGGGCCCTGGTGGAGTTTTGAGAAGCCAGCCATCATTAGGGATCCCCCTTCTGTAGTCCCTTTGATGGTTCCTTCAGATGCCTCCTCCAGCCTGCCCCTGGCCGGTTCCTCTCAGGAACTCTGATTGGGGAGAGTTTTTCTTTTTTCTTTCTTCCTTTCTTCCTTTCTTCCTTTCTTCCTTTCTTCCTTTCTTCCTTCCTTCCTTTCTTCCTTCCTTCCTTTCTTCCTTCCTTCCTTCCTTTCCTTTCTTCTCTTTCTTTCTTTTCTTTCTCTTTTCTTTGCTTTCTTTCTTTTCTTTCTTTTCATTTTAAGAGTTTCTTTATTTGACAGAGAGAGCAAGCGAGCACAAGCAGGGGAAGTGGCAGAGGGAGAGGGAGAAGCAGGCTCCCCGCTGAGCAGGGAGCCCGATGCGGGGCTTGATCCCAGGACCCTGGGATCATGACCTGAGCCAAAGGCAGATGCTTAACCAACTGAGCCACCGAGGCGCACCTGGAGGGAATTTTTCTTTTACTGAGATCTCTTCTATCCTTCAGTTAGGACCTCTGGGACAGGGTCCCTTTTAAGCCCACTGTGCCTGTGGCCTTCCAGCAGATCAGGATGGCTCACAGTAACAGCTTCCTCATCCCTCCAGTGGGATAAATCCACAAGTACATGCAGTTCTCACTGCGGCAATGTATCTTTGATTTCCCATCAGGTAAGCTGTACCTGAGTCTTTAAACTTTAGAATCAGATATTAATCTTTTCCCCCTAATTCCAGGGGACTTAGGTCAAGCTCTCCAGGTGGTTTTGTTGATGCTGTTCTTTGAACTTGACTTATAATAGGAAATGCCACAGCACTAGTACCTCTTTGCAATGGTCCCTCAGCCTCACAGTGAAATCTTAGCTTGGAGGTGTGTGGTCTAACCCCTCGGACACCATTATTTGACACCCGTTCTCTTTTGGCATTTGGAGCCTCTAAATAAAACCAAAGGACTCAAATTTAACATCTTGCTGTGCGGGTCTTTGAAGGGTGGAGGGAGGGGTGCTTGGGTGTCTCAGTTGGTTAAGCGTCTGCCTTCAGCTCAGGTCATGATGCCAGGGTCCTGGGATCGAGTCCCGCAGCGGGCTCCCTGCTCAGTGGGGAGTCTGTTTCTCCCTCTCCCCGCTGCTCATGCTCTCTCTCACTATCTCTCTTTCTCAAATAAATAAAAAAAAGGGGGGAAGGGAGAGCAGGTACAGAGAGCTTAGGTTACTATTGTGCTTTTGAAATCATTTCTTTATGGTCTTACATGTAGTATTATCACTTGTCACTCTACATCGGAACAAACACTCCTTTTGAATTATGAATGAATGAATACATTTAAGTGAATGTACATTTGTAGCCTTCCAAATCACACTGTCCAGCAATAAAAAGGAATTGGTGAATTCCTTTTAACCAGAGATTAGATTGGACTATATGTTTGACTTCATGGCCACCAGAGTATATGTACATATAGATGTAAAGTCTTCTCTGCATTTTTCCCTTGTCACATATGCCTGTTTTTCCATGTCTGTACCTATGACTTTACCTCATTCATTTATTGGTGCGTAGTATTCTGTTATGTGGATGTGCCTTAGTGTATTTCATAAATCCCCATCTGATATACTTCTAAGTCTCTCACTTTTATTATTTTTTTTAAAAGATTTTATTTATTTGAGAGAGAAACAGCTGCTTATGGCCTGTTGAGGGGACAGCAGTTAGGGGAAACAGGGCACAGTCTGCCTTGTGGTCAGGCAGCTGGGAGCTATGGATGTTGCATACCCGGTGTTCGCTTTTTTTCTCCAGGGGGCCCTGGTGGAGTTTTGAGAAGCCAGCCATCATTAGGGATCCCCCTTCTGTAGTCCCTTTGATGGTTCCTTCAGATGCCTCCTCCAGCCTGCCCCTGGCCGGTTCCTCTCAGGAACTCTGATTGGGGAGAGTTTTTCTTTTTTCTTTCTTCCTTTCTTCCTTTCTTCCTTTCTTCCTTTCTTCCTTTCTTCCTTCCTTCCTT